TTACTCTCCCGATCCTTTCAGTTCGGCAACTTAAGCGATCATTGGCTTCCGCTGGGAATGCTGCCGGACGTGGCCGAGGCAGGGGCAGAGGTCGCCGAAACGTTTCTTTGGCTGCCAAAAAAAAACTGCACAAAGAAATAGTTTGGAAACGGTGGCCAATCCTCCGGCCTACGACGCTGGCCTCTGCTATGATTCGAGGCGGTCACGGTGATCGCTTCGAGCCCCTGGGTGATATATTACTCATGCATCCCGAGTTTTGACGTGCATACCGATTTTGCTTTTCATCGGACGACTTTACAATCGAACCGGAACTGTATATTTGGGTGATTGCATCCAGACTAACTTAAAGTATATAATAAGTGCCACTGAGTAGCATCTTAGAAGTCAAAATGAAATACCAGAAGTCGAGGTCCACCTCGTGGTCTGAATTCTGGCAACGTGCAGAACAGCACGAGCTTTGGGGACCGAATCATCCGGTTAATCGACGGATGACTCCGTCCCAGAAAGGCCACGCAGTGCCCATCGCGATCCACGGCGATGAAGGGCAGGGCAAAAAGCAAAGATCGCTGATGGTGTTGAGCTGGTCGATTGTCAATCACCGCAAACGGCACATCTTGCTTTACAAATACCCGATCACTACCATCAGAAGTATTAACATGGCTTTCAGCAGTGAAGGTGTCAACTTGACATTGATGGCTCTGCAGAAAGCCTTGGTCGAAAACCTTCAGTTTGCCGCCGAGCCGAACAACTGTCCATTGGCCCCGGGCAAAGACTTCACACTGCAGCTTGCGATCGCAAAGGGCGATTGGAAGTTTCAGGCCTCATGGCTCAATGAGGTCAGAAGTTACGCAAATCATCCGAGTACATCGGCTGACCGACCCGTTTTCTGTCGTCGCTGCCTTTGCACAGCCAATGTGAACAGCAACAAGCATTGGTTGGACATGAAGGATCGAGGCTGGTTCGAACCGGCCGAAGTTTCGGATGTGCTCGATGGCAACATCGGCAGGGCCCTGCCGTGCCCCGGATGCAGATCAGAACGATGTTATTGTTAACTTTTTTGTGTGTGCCGATTATTACAATCATGTCACAGCAATGTGTCCTTGTGCATCCACCGTCCAAAGAGTGCATGAGGCTACGCTCGCTCAGCGGTTGGCATGCTGATATGGCAGCCGCGGATACACTGCACAGCTTATGGCTTGGCTGTGCAAAGGATGCCATTGGATCTGCATTGATGGACATATGCGAGTTTCATGAGGCATTCTCCTCATGTACAGGCTGGGATGAGGCACTGTCACAATTGTGCTGTGAATTCCACAGCTGGTGCGATGAAACCGGGATGGAGAAACACAATTGCGATGAACTGAACCTCACCAAGCTCGGGGTCAACTCGATCACTTTTGATTTCCCCTCTGGAACGTCCAAAGGTTTCAC